GGTGTTTTGGGCTGGTTTTGGGGTGTTTCTCTGTGTTTCGGGTCACTCACTCCAGCTGCGGGGCAGCACCTTCAGGGCCAGGGGCACGAGGTCGTCGAAGGAGGCGTCGAGGACGAGACCCCCGAGCTCTCTGTGTTTTGGGTCACTCACTCCAGCTGCGGGGCAGCACCTTCAGGGCCAGGGGCACGAGGTCGTCGAAGGAGGCGTCGAGGACGAGACCCCCGAGCTCGGGGTAGGACATGGCGGCCCAGGTGGCTGGGGGGCACAAAGGGGGGTCAGGGGGACCCCCAAAACATCCCAGTGACATCCCAGTACCATCCCAGTAACCCCCAGTGCCATCCCAGTGACATCCCAGTAAGGTAAACCCTGCTCCCAGTGCTCCCAGTGCCCCCAGTGCCCCGAGCTCGGGGTAGGACATGGCGGCCCAGGTGGCTGGGGGGCACAAAGGGGGGGTCAGTGACCCTCCCAGTAACCCCCAGTGCCATCCCAGTGCCCCCCAGTAACCCCCAGTGCCATCCCAGTAACCCCCAGTAACCCCCAGTGCCATCCCAGTGCCCCCCAGTGCCATCCCAGTAAGGTAAACCCTGATCCCAGTCCCTCCCAGTCCCTCCCAGTTTGCCCAGTTTGCCCAGTTTGTACCAGTAAAGCCCCCGATGCTCCAGGCGTACACCCAGCGCTCCCAGTCCCTCCCAGTCCCTCCCAGTCCGTACCAGTGAAGCCCCCGATGCTCCAGGCGTACACCCAGCGCTCCCAGTCCCTCCCAGTCCCTCCCAGTCCCTCCCAGTCCGTACCAGTGAAGCCCCCGATGCTCCAGGCGTACACCCAGCTCATTCCCAGTCCCTCCCAGTCCCTCCCAGTCCGTACCAGTAAAGCCCCCGATGCTCCAGGCGTACAGCACGATGCTGGGCGGGGCGAAGCGCAGCCGCTGCAGCGCGAAGCGGATCACCACGTCCATGGCGTTGGCCTCGCTCTGGGGCAGGGGCACCCCCTGCAACCGACCCCAAAACCTTCCTGAGACCCTGCTGGGACCCCCCAGGGACCCCCCAAAAAAATCCCGGGCTCGGGGGAGCCCCCAGACCCCCAAAATCCCCCCAGAAAGGGAACCCCCCCAGGGACAGGGATCACGACATCCATGGCGTTGGCCTCGCTCTGGGGCAGGGGGAGCCCCTGGAATGGGGGGGTCAGGGGGGTCCCGAGACCCCCAGGGACCCCCCAGGGACCCCCCAAAAAAATCCCGGGCTCGGGGGAGCCCCCAGACCCCCAAAATCCCCCCAAAAAGGGAACCCCCCCAGGGACAGGGATCACGACATCCATGGCGTTGGCCTCGCTCTGGGGCAGGGGGACCCCCTGGAATGGGGGGGTCAGGGGGGTCCCGAGACCCCCAGGGACCCCCCAGGGACCCCCCAAAAAAATCCCGGGCTCGGGGGAGCCCCCAGACCCCCAAAATCCCCCCAAAAAGAGACCCCCCCCAGCGAAACGATTCACGACGTCCGTGGCGTTGGCCTCGCTCTGGGGCAGGGGCACCCCCTGGAACCGACCCCAAAACCTTCCTGAGACCCTGCTGGGACCCCCCAGGGACCCCCCAAAAAAATCCCGGGCTCGGGGGAGCCCCCAGACCCCCAAAATCCCCCCAGAAAGGGAACCCCCCCAGGGACAGGGATCACGACATCCATGGCGTTGGCCTCGCTCTGGGGCAGGGGGACCCCCTGGAATGGGGGGGTCAGGGGGGTCCCGAGACCCCCAGGGACCCCCCAGGGACCCCCCAAAAAAATCCCGGGCTCGGGGGAGCCCCCAGACCCCCAAAATCCCCCCAAAAAGAGACCCCCCCCAGCGAAACGATTCACGACGTCCGTGGCGTTGGCCTCGCTCTGGGGCAGGGGCACCCCCTGGAACCGACCCCAAAACCTTCCTGAGACCCTGCTGGGACCCCCCAGGGACCCCCCAAAAAAATCCCGGGCTCGGGGGAGCCCCCAGACCCCCAAAATCCCCCCAGAAAGGGAACCCCCCCAGGGACAGGGATCACGACATCCATGGCGTTGGCCTCGCTCTGGGGCAGGGGGACCCCCTGGAATGGGGGGGTCAGGGGGGTCCCGAGACCCCCAGGGACCCCCCAGGGACCCCCCAAAAAAATCCCGGGCTCGGGGGAGCCCCCAGACCCCCAAAATCCCCCCAAAAAGAGACCCCCCCCAGCGAAATGGGGGAAATGGGGTCTGGGGGCATTTTGGGGTAACTCTGGGGTTCTTTGGGGTCTGCTGGGGAATTCCGGGGGGAGTTTGGGGTCGTTCTGGGGTGATTTGGGGTCACTGGGGAGACTTTGGGGTCATTTCGGGGGGATTCTGGGGGGAGTTTGGGATTTGGGGTAATTCTGGGGGGATTTTGGGGGGCCAGAGGTGACTCCGGGGTTATTTCAGGATCCACAATAAACTCAAGGATATTTTGGGATACATTTAGGATATTTTAGGATATCGCAGAATAATTTTAGAACGCTTTAGGATACACTTGCAATATTTTAGAATATTTTACCTTATATTTACAATATTTTAGAATATTTTACCTTATATTTACAATATTTTAGAATATTTTACCTTATATTTACAATATTTTAGAATATTTTACCTTATATTTACAATATTTTAGAATATTTTACCTTATATTTACAATATTTTGGAATACTTTAGGATATTTTAGTGTACATTCAGAATATTTTAGGATATTTTAAAACAAGTTTAGAAAACTTTAAAATACTTATAAGCTATTTTAGGATGCTTTAAGCTACATTTATGATATTTTAGGATGATTTCAGGATGTTTTAGGGTAAATTCAGGATATTTTGGGGTACATTTAAGGTATTTTTAGGATAAATTCAGGATAATTTCAGGACGTTTTGGGGTCTCTCACCTGCTCAACGAGGCGAGCCTGCCCCTGGAGCAGGGCGGGGATATGTTATGATAACTTTATGATAATTTTATGATAATTTCAGGATATTTTAGGGTACATTCAGGATATTTTGGGGTCTCTCACCTGCTCAACGAGGCGAGCCTGCCCCTGCAGCAGGGCGGGCAGCAGCGCTCGCTGCAGCAGCCGCACGGAGCCCGGGAACAGCATCCGGCGGCCCAGGGTGTGAGCCAGGAGCAGCCTGGGGGCGGGGCCGGGAAAGGACACGCCCATGGGGCGGGGTTAACAATGGACACGCCCAGGGTGTGAGCCAGGAGCAGCCTGGGGGCGGGGCCAGAATGGGACACACCCAGGGGGTGGGGTTAACAAAAACCACACCCAGGGTGTGAGCCAGGAGCAGCCTGGGGGCGGGGCCGGGAA